GGCTCGAATTAATTATTGTTTCATTACGCTAACTTATATTTTGCAGAATTATTATTTACAAATGGCGGGAATAACAACTTTTTCCAGTAACTAAAACCTCTGCACACCCCTCATCCCCGGGAAAAGTAAAACAAGTGAATAATTCTGCACAGACTCATATTTCTCAGGCTGAAAGAAAAGACTAACTCCTAAACATAATCAACCCCACTACATTGATGATGTTGGTGGTATCATTTTAAAATCATTTGTATAACATGTGAACTGAAGAACCTTAAACATCAAGACTGTCATTCTTTTATAAAGAACAGGTTGAGACTTTCATATAAAAAAAAAAGAGATATCAATGCAAAGATGAAGATGTGTATGCATCACAGACACTGTGCAGGTATGTGGGAAAAGAAGGGGCATTTTTTCATCTAAAATAGTCTACCTGATCCTTGAAGCCTCTGGAAAGCATTTCATCAGCCTCGTCCAATACAAACATCTTTATGTGATCAGGGCGGAGAGACTGTCTCCTTAGCATGTCAAATACACGTCCAGGGGTTCCCACAACAACGTGAACCCCACTTGAAAGGATGCGTTGATCCTCACGGACACTGGTGCCTCCCACACAAGCATGAACCTTGACACCAAGATAGTCTCCAAGTGCTCGCATGACCTTTTCAATTTGCTGTGCAAGCTCACGAGTAGGTGCCAAGACCAAAGCTTGACAGTCTAGTAGTTCATAGTCTAGTTGTTGCAGAATTCCAGAGCAAAACGTAGCAGTCTTTCCAGTTCCAGACTGAGCTTGTTGAATCACATCAAGACCTTTGCAGAAAGGTACAATTCCTCTTTGTTGAATTGCTGAGGGTTTCTCAAAACCTACAATGGATATAGTCCAATATTAGATCTAAGTATCTAACAAATTCAAAAAAAGAAGTGACCAAATTATGAATAAATACTTCAGTACGAGACAATATGCACAGAACAACCATGTAAAAATAGATGAAGCACTCAGTTTGATCCAAAATCCCTAAGTTAGTAGCAGCGCGAAGAGAAGGAAAAACACGTCATCCTCTTTTTCATAATCTGTACACAAGTCAAGAACCAAGAAAGAGTAACGGCAAAAGATTTTCAACTGACCGTATGCATAAATGCCCCTGAGGAGGTTCTCCTTCAATCCCATGGCATCAAAACTATCATAGACCTCATCGTATGAGGTAAAGAAATCTTGCCCTTCAGCATTTAGCCTGTATGTGCAATCAAAGAAGGTTGTCACACACATTACAACTAAATATTTACTATTTCTCACGCAGGCATGATTTTGACCCCAGGTATGCCGATGTGTGGATAGACAAACTCAAGGCAATATAACACAATTTGAGAATGGAAAAGCAACAGTATAATCGAGACAGTGATACTCACAACTCTGTCATTTTCGAATCATACTGACGAGCATCAAACTGTGATCCTTCAGGAGCTGCACCCGCCATGACTAGAAAGTATTCACAGCACATCAGCAAAAAGAAAGTTTTTAGCTTGAACTCAAAAATTGTCAAAACATGTATCCCACCCCACCATAACCACAAATCAAACCAAACTGAACTAACCAAATCGATTACCCCCCCCCCCCCAAAAAAAAAATAGCTAGTCACTATCCTTCTAAAGACTATAACTTTAGCACAAAATGATGTCAACGAGTAAATTTTTGTGCTTTTTTCTTTTGTTTTGAAAACATTTTGAAAGATGTAAGCTGATTGATACATAAAGAGGACCCCATAAACAGATTCATAAGAGATATATCTACATCAAACTACACAAAACAAAAAAAAATAAAGAATTTAATAATTTCATTTACACACTATATCTAGAGCTTCAAAAACTATAGCCAAAATTTATTAAAAAAAGGTAACTAGAAAATAAACAAAGGAGAAAGGTACCTGAAGATGTAGAGGGAGAGAAGAGATGCTGCAGTTGTGAGTAATAAGAGAAGTTAGGGTTTTTTTCCCAAACTTCTCGGATCTACGGCTCCCTGGAGTTTGTAGAGATATACGATACAATAATGTGCGAATGTTTTGAGGGTTCCGTAGTAGCCAAAGAGACGCATATTTTTTCTTGTTCTGACGAATTTGCCCCTTATGGAATTGTACGTGTCCCATTTTGCGGCTTCCTTACATTACGTACTGGCTCCTTTTTGAAGACATAGCAATTGGAGGCGATAGGTTTAAGGTTGTCCTAAACAAACAAATCTAAAATAAAAATAAAATTTCAAAAAAGTGGCAAAGGAAAAGTGTGATAAAAGATGTTCGTGAAAGTTATTGTTACAAACATAAAAAACCATTACACCGTTCAACAACACTAAAAATATAATATGTAGGAATGACATCAATACCCATTTTAAAGGGCTGCTATTTAGAAATTAGCCAGTACATTCTAAATTTCAATTTTTCAGTTTAATTTTTTGGGACAAAAGTGTCATGAATTGTCCTGAAATTTAGATAAAAGTGTCATGAACTGTCCTGAAGTTTAGATAAAAGTGTCATGAATTGTCCTGAAATTTAAATTTTTAATTTAAAATTTCTCAACAAATTATGTATTGGTTAATCTCTAAATAGCATCCATGAAAATATTTATATTTGCACTTGCCCCTTAAATGTGTAGCCAATATAACTTCATCAGCAAAATCTTAATTATTCCAATTCATATTATCAGTCATTTAAGATTTTTGCTTACTCCTTAGTAAGAATTTTAATAGTTTTAATCATAAGAGATTAGCTTGACTATCCTCTATCTCACCTTAAATGTCTCAATTAACACTACACTAATTAGAATAGTAAGTAGGTTTAAAAAGAAAACCTATTAAATGAGCTGTTCTTTTTAAAAGAATGTCAAATACTTTGACAAATGTTTGAGATTGAACGTAGTATAACTTTCAATGGTTATTCAGACTCAGTTTAAGATGTGTAGTTAGTATTAACTAATTCTTCCTAACGGTACTCCCACTATTTCGTGCAGTAATTCTCTCTTTCTGCAAAATAAAGACGTAACTGAATAATTGCAGTTTTTCTGAAGTCTTACAGCATTTTTGTGAGTGAAATAATATTTTGAAGAGGTGCAGCTCAAGGTACCACTTCATACGAATTTTCAAAAAACTAAAAAAAAAAAAAAAAGGGGGAAACTTTAACCAAACCTCAATCTCAAGCCTTCTGAATTTCAGAAATTTGAAGTGAAATTAATACAGCACGTTACTTGTACATGGCAATTTAAAGTGTTATTTTCAGTGTGTGTTTTCTTAATATGTGGCATCTAATTGACAAGTTTCTTTGCAGGCATTCTTACTATTCTAACTGACTACATCATCTACCAAAATTCCAAAGTTAAATAAGCTGCATTGACAGTCCCATCTAAACTCCTCAGCACTGGAATGTGCACAAATGACTCCCAAATTGCGACACAATATCCACTAATGCTCCGTAACCAGCTACTGCTGTGACCTGAAAGTTATGGACAAGTGAAACCCTGTTTTAGTTGTGATAAGTGATAACTATAGATTTTAACACTGTACTATCTATCCTGCCACAATGGCAATTCCACTTCAGTTTTGGTGTATAATATACTGGTTTTCTATACGGAAAAGAAAAGAGTTAGAAATCTACCTAAAACATGTTGATCGCACTTGCGAAAATATAAAGTGTGGTATCAGCAAACTAAAGAAAAGTAGTTTCTTACCCCTGAAGGATGTAAAGAAATGGAAAAGAGTGACTGAGGAGCACATGGTATCTGTGAAATAATATCTCCGTTCAGGTCAAAGCGACTAAGCAGGGGCTCCGCTCCAACCGCTAAAACCTGACAGGGAAAATACAGCTCCTTAGCCAAGAAGGAATGGGAATAACCAAAAAGCATTTAGTGGAATTAGTTACTCTCACCAGAATGGTGGATAGGAGACAGCAATCAACCAGATTGAACTTGAGAAGGCCACAAGTACAATAATAGAGGACAGAATATACGCACAAGACATACATGAACTAAAGCAAAATAATAGTACAGTGCTGGGACGGCAAAGATCACAAGTCAAATGCAGTTCAAAGATTTAAAAGTTTCGGAACGCTAGAGCTAATCATTATTCGACCTCTTCTTTTATAACATTTAAGGTTGAAGATAACTGTAGTTAAATAGACAACCAACACAAACACGAAAGAGAATCAAAGGAACTCATTCCAAAAAGGGGACTTAAAACAAACACAGGGAACAAACGAAACTACTTGGAATTTGATATAAGTGAAAGAACTGACTTGATTATCATCAAATATGACATCCTGGTTAGCAGCACCTGTCGTGATTCGTGAAACACATTCACACGCTGGAAGGTTCCAAACAGATAAAGACCGGCCACTTCCACAAGCCTATGAAATAAAGCATAGTGGCTGTAATTAACATCGTTGATGCAGGAAACATACTGTCAGTCTGTTATGCATGAAAATATGATAAAATATTCATTTCTCCAATCTCAACCTTAGCTGTGAAGTAACCATAACCAGGCAAAAGAAAATGATAAAAAAAAAGGAATCATAACTTGAAATAAACCAGGAGATGGTACTGTATCTCTATACACACCTGGATACACATAAAGGCACACATATTTCCTTTCTGCCGATTGCAAGGTCAGATGCATAAGACACGCATCAACGAGAATTCAGAACATCAACAAAGATTGCCTTTATTTTTTCTTTTGAACAACGATTGTGTTACTTACTCACTTATCAAGATGAAGAAATTGCTTAATATTGAAGAGAAACAATCTTTTTAACAACGATTGCTTCACTTATCAAGATGAAGAAATTGCTTCATTTTGAAGAAAGACAATCTTTTAGTGGAGAACAAGAACCCTTAGCAACTATGTTGCTCGGATCCTCCAAAAATGTTGTGGTGCGCGTGTTGGATCTTTAAAAGGTATTGCATTTTTGGAGGATCTAACACAGGTATGGCGGTATTTTTGAAGGATCTGAGCAACTTAACCTAGCAACGCTAATATTATATTGGGAGAGCAATTACGCTTGGCAATGCTAGAGTTTCAAATGCAACTCAACACCAACTGATAATTGCTAAGCATTCATCGACATATTTCGGGAATTCATCTAAAAAAAAGCTGTCATGTGGACTGACAATACAAAGTGCTTAAAACCTTCAACAGTAAAATAGGCATGAAAAAACTCTTCCATGTCCTCCAATTCTACTAGTAATCTTGACAGTTCCCCCAATTGGAAACAAAAAAATGTAGCTTTTGAAATGAATGGGGATAACAAGTTTGAAGCATTTATGGAAGTCCCCTCATAGAAGGTTTACTCTTGACAATAACTAAGATGTCCAGTAGCAGTCAAGCAACACAGTACCTGGATTCAAGGTTCCACAAACTGTATAATGCATGGAGTTGCTATCATTAACATGTTATATCAGCATGAACTTATTTTCACAAAGGCCAAACAAAAGTTGTGCTCTATGTAAATAGACCCAAACAAAAGTTGTGCTCTATGTAAATAGGCCAAACAAAAGTTGTGCTCTATGTAAATAGGCCAAACAAAAGTTGTGCTCTATGTAAATAGGCAAAAAAAAAGTTGTACCAGTAAAGATGCATAGCTACTTAGTATTCAAGTTTTAAAAGGTAAGACAAATAACTTTGGGTATGTAACAGTGTTTTTGAGAGCGAGAAGCGCAAAAAAGCGACAGGGGCTCGCCTCGCTTCAAAAGCGAAGCGCACTCTTCATTGACGTGAAGCGCAATTCTTAAAAAACATAATGTAATCTTGTTACAAAACTTGCATACAACAATTGTACTATTCTTCTCATTAACTTTATCGCCATATCGCCAAGCCAGGTCTTTCTCTTTCGAACTTTGGGACATTTTTAAATCCCTATTAAGATATAAGAAAATATATAATCAAATAACCTGAAAATACATATAAAATTAATCAAATAAACTGAAAATATAACATATATATAATAATTAATTTTATAAACTGAAATACACATTAAAAAAAATTAAATAAACTGAAAATATAACATATATATATATATATATATAAAACTGAAATGAGCAACACCTTAATTAAATTAAATTTAATAACTAAAATCAATAAAATTTCAAAATAAAAGGAAAAAACGGAAAATAATAATAATAATAATAGGTTGGGGGAATGATTTTTAAAAGAAGTGAAAAGAGGGTCAATAAATTACACACAGAGGAGTTTGAATAATGCTGTCTTAAACGGTTTCATCAGACATAACAAAGAGAATCAGTAGAAAAGAAAATCATGAATGAATGGAATGTAAACTCTCCTAAATTAGGAGATTCATATCTGCGTGAATGCGTTGTGCACCGGGCTGCCCTTTTTATATCTTATTATCATCTTCAAGAAAACCCAGTCATCATTGACAAGATTATTATAAATTTACAGTAGGTTGACCCTCAACATCATTAACAAAAGTAAGCTTCCGTAATTTCACAATGCAACAGATAGAATTTTTGATTGGTAAATACAACAGAAAGAATTACAGTATAAAAGCCCTAACCAAACAACAATTATAATTGTTGGTGCAGTTTGTTGGTGCAGTAGCAAACTTACGAGAATGCTAGTTTTGGTGTATAAAGGAATCTGAACTCTTACCAGCCAACTCTCACTTGCATCAAGAGCAATGCAACTGACATATGGAAACAACTCCCTCGACTTCTTATCCTTCTGTGGATCAATTATTTGAATACATTTACCAGTTCTGCAATCTAAGGCAAATTCATAAATAACAGACAATAATAAAACAGAAAAAATAGATCCAAATGAGCAAAATCATGTGTAATTTCCAAATAAGAGAGATAGCTCAAGTCAATAAAAGGAAAAATTGGCCATTCAGCACGCCTTACGCTCCCTTCTTTTTAAATAACCGAAATGTCCCCGTGGCAGGCCTTATGATCCTATTACTAGAAAGAATGACATACCCCATATTCGTGTTGTCCCGTCCTCTGAACCAGTTATAACCTGAAAATTGCCAAGCGAGAGAAAGAGAGAAGCAAAAAGAAACAAAGCAGAATTAAAATTGAGCCCAATTCCAGGAACCATTGTTCAACTAAAAGTAAGCCACCCCTCCCACTAAGACTGAGAGAAGCAAAATAAAACGCGTCTAAAAATATATTCTATTTCCAAAGAAAACAAAACATCAAGGTGCTGTTGCATTAAAAGAATTTTGAACAATTAAAAGTTTCAAGAAACAGGATTTTTTCAGCTCTTTTGCCAAGTTTAGTTTCAACCTCAAAGTGAAGAGCCAGCAACATGGGTATCACACTCCTATCTATAACAATCTATATCTATACTATATTAAAAGCATGAAGGCCCTTAACGAAATGTCGTTCGCCTTTTTTACCCTTCAAAAAAAATAATTCAAACTGGACAAAATAGTCATTTAACTATTCTCCTACTAATATTTAGGAATAAATATTTAATTATTTCCCTAAGATTTAGGATTTCTTTCCCTTTCTTTTAGGTTTAAGCCTATTTTCATAGATATGTAATTTAATGCGGTTTCACATTTCATCAAAGCAAAGCTAAACGATGATTTGGTAAATTCATCCTTGTGACCAATTTTAAAAAGTACTTAAAAAGAAAAGAACTTTAAGTTGAATATTACAAATATTGTAAAACTCAATGAACTATCAATTATTTAAGAAAAGTTATGACTTTGAATCTATCTACGAAATTGTTATGAATTTTTTACCATCAAAATTAATATTCCTTTTGTTTCAATTTATGTAGCACTATTTCCTTTTTAGTCGATCCGAAACAGACCACATTTCTTTATTTAAAAATAATTCATCTTTAAATTTTAACTTTACCCTTAATAAATTAATTTACAATCACACAAATATTTACGGTAACCACAAGCTTTCAAAAATCCTCTTTTTTCCTTAAACTCCATAGTGAATCAAACGCCGCTATATAAAGTGGCACGAAGAGAGTTAAAAAAAACCTTCAGTTCTTTATATAGAAATGCTATATTTCCATATACTCCAACCGAAAAATATGAAATAATTCATGGTAGCATGTAATGTAATACTTAGTTTGCATTGAAATAGAAGATCTTGGACTTTGAGCTATCCTGGCCGAATTCAAACACTTTATGCCTTCATAGAAAGATAAAAATGAAGTTTATAAAATTAGGATAGATTCTAACTTTTTTATTATTATTTTTTATTATATCAAAGTGAAAACAAGCACCGACTAAAAATTCTTAATATTTTATAATAAAAGAAGTACCACTAAGTTAAGAAGTTGAACTTTGAGGTTCGCCTTTTTCAGTGATTGGCTCAGCTTAAAATATTGCATTAGTATAAATAGTGATCTAAGATAAATTTGGAGTCTAAAAGATCTGGTTTAAATATAATTGATTTTTTTTGGTTAAATACTGTAATTCTCAATATTTTGTATTAACAGAATATAAAGGATCTGTTCAATGTTAATTCTAACAAAATATAAAATGAATAAATTATTATTACAGCCTAATTTTAATTTATTTATAATATATTTTGCTAATTAATCACGCAAGAAAGAAAATAATCATATAACTTTGTGAATGGAGGTAAAACTTAAAATCACAATAAGACATCTAAAGTAGATTGGGTGTGAGTTATTCTTTTATTAAGCTAGCTAAATCGATTAATTTCAATATTGTCAAAAACTTATACTTTTTTTCTATATATTTTATAGCTAAAAATATTACCTAATACTTACGTAATATTTACTCAATGGCATGTGGTACACATAGAGTAGTTTGTTATTTTTTGTGTATATTTTTTATTGATTGATGCGATATACACGTGCAACGCACGTACACTAAAGCTAGTCTCTTCAAATGTGAGAAATCAAGTCTTGACAGAGAGGGAGGGAGAACTAGACAGCAACATAAGCATTTGGTACATGGAGTCCATAAAATTGAATAGGAATGACTATACAGACATAGAGAGAGAGAGAGAGAGAGAGAGAGAGAGAGAGAGAGTGTGTGTGTGTTTGTATGGGTGAGAGAATGAGAGACAAACAAAAGCTTTACCTGATTGTGAGAATTTCGAGCAACAATGCAATGCAAGTAGTCTGAATGTCCTTTCAAAACCATCTTTATTTCATTCTTCTCCTAAGCACCATAACTTTAATCAGATTTTCATGACAGATTCAGAAGAAGCAATGAAGAGAGTCGAAGTATAAGTCGATGAAGTAAGCCAAAAGAATGAATCAATTAAGAGATCTCATAATATGAGCCAGCCATACATCTTGAACAAATACATACCACATCCCAGCAGTATGCACAAGAATCACCAGCAGCAGCAAAAATGGATCCAGTCTACAATGGAACACAAAATATTAAATAAAAAAATGTAGACAGGGCAACCTTGAGGTAAGTTTTAAAAGGCTGAATCAGAATATCAGACTTGACCTACGCAAGAGAAGAATCCATGCAATATAAATGAACAGAGTTAACTATGTTCGACGCTTTGAACTAACAGCTCCAGCTGTGGTACCAGATCCCCGAAGTCCACTCAACATGAATCCTCCAGTAGTCACATGATTCTTCTCTCCCTACCACCTCCTAGGGTTGTGCCAGGAATCCCTCTCCAAATTTGTTATTCAAAAATCAAATACACAAAACAATACATCGAAATAGAGCAGGTCTAATGTACAAAAGAAGACTGGCCACCCCCCAAAAGCAGTGCACCAAAGAATCAAATGAATAAGACAAATTGTTTGCTACTATGAAGTTCTTTTGTAGTTCATCCACAAATTTAGCACTTCTAGTAGATTTGCACAATTTGAAAATATTAATAGCTTCCACCACCAGACTCCACTCTCTTCTTCGTAAGAAGGAAACGAAATGAAATATTGCCTCATTGTTGCACAATACATAGGTTTCAACTACCATCATAATCTAGTGAAGGACCCAAGACATTCCTTCATAACTAAGAGCATCTGTAGTAAAAGAACTGGTTTGCCTCTCAGTATCTAAACAAGCATCTAACTAGGAAAAGATAACTAAACCACAATCTATTTATACCTCCTCGGTCCTGGATGGACCAGCTAATGCGTCAACTGAAATCAGACTTATAGCCCTATCCACTCACTCCAGAGTGTCAATCAAGAAGCCACTCGGTTAATTTAGAAAAAAATAAAAGGGCAACGAACCTGAGTATTAACGGCCATGCAATTATTCTCTGGAATTGGAGAAAGTGCACCCCACGGACCTCTGAGATATGAGAACATGGTTGGAACAGAAAAGCAATAATAGTGTAAAGTAAAAGGAAAGATGTAATAAGTGAACACTTCACTGTCGTAAGCAATAACTAATTTTCACATATAGAAGGCCAAGATAACAAATCATCTAAAGACCAATATAAACTAGTGTAGGAATTAACAGTGGATGTAAAACTTTGATTGCAATTTATTTATTAATTCCCCCCACCCTCACCCACCGCAGAAAAATAATAGATCTAACAAAAGCGTTGAGGAATCTTCTTAAGCACTAAGTATGCTAACGAAAATATCAATAAACATTGCAACAAAATGTTTAAACTCCTGAACAGGTAATCTTTAGTTGCACATCAATCGCTAAGCATGCAATATCAGCACCTACTAGTGATGCCAACTGTCTCAGAAGAGGTAATAAAAAAAATTATATTTATTTCATGTTTTTCAATAACTTACTTTTGTTGAGGATTCACCAAGTCAAGCATTGGCTGTGATGTGCCTCCTGTATAGTGATAACAAGAGGAAAAATAAGCAGAGAAGACAATCCTTTCTTCTTTACATCAAATGGAAGCAGCAAAAATCCAACTCATTGCTAAATTCATGAACAAACTAATATCAAGTTACATCAACGAGTAAACTCAGGACCAGACTGCCTATAGGCATTCAAATGTAGGGTAAAAGTAGCATAATGCATTCACCTCAAGCAATTCATATGACTTGCAGAAAATTTTCCGCCACATACAGAAAAAGGGTGTTGATTCAATAGGTTTTGGTCTATGGCTAAGCTAGTATCTCAGAGGCACACAACATACATAATGTGGGAACCAAAAAGGACCATGCTTCAAGTGTGAGGGTTAGAAGGACACGGAACAAAATTACATTCCAAAAAAAGGCAAGAACATTTGATGACTAGTATCTGCCAGTTTTTCAGGTGGTGGGGAAGTGTCTTTCCTCACTTCTTTATCTTTCAATTAACATTATTTGTGCCAGTTTGGCACTAGTATATCTACTTCTTTTTTCATCTCTTTTTCCTATTTTTTCTCTAAAACTATTTTTTATTGGTACTCCCTCCGTTTTAAAAGATTGTCTTAGTTTGACTTGGGACAAACTTTAATAAAGAAGGGAAGACTTTTGAGATATGTGGTCTGCTGTGAAACTTTTAAAAATTGTGGTCTAAAACCTGCCATAGCATTTGTGTGGCTATAAATACTTCTTATTTAAGGAAATATTGAAAGGTGCCAATCTTTTTGAAACAGACTAATACGGAGATAGTATCAATCTTTTTGAAACGGAGTAAAAAGAATACTCGAGACATTTTTCCCAGACACCCCTGCCTTAAGACCTTTTTTAGGCATTAAAATAATACATAAAGCCACAACCTAGATTCCTGCATGGGCACAAATATATGCTTGCATATTGTTTTGTACTCATGTCAGACACTGGTACTCACAAAAAAACTATTGGAACGAACTCCAGCCCAACAAGATGGTGTCGCAAGTCCTTATTTCATGTTTTAGAATTAGATGTCCTTGATACTGAACACTAAATGTCCTTCAACAAGACAGCAAAAAGTCTATCAGATGTGTCAATTATTCCCACTTCAATAACTTTTAAGACATAATTTCAGAAGATATAATGGCATACTTTATGTAGTAACAAGTATTACAAAATTAACCTTGCATACTAGAGATCGACACAAATTCAACCAAACACGAAAGCAAAGAAGAAAAAGAACTTCCTCCTGTCCTACACAAAACATATGTTAAACTTCATTTATGTTATATTCGATGGAACTCTTCAATATTATGTAGTTGTGGTGTCTTGAATCCTCAAGTTCATCTTTTTTTTGTTATTCCTTGTGAAACTAGTGGAACACTATATTAAGTTATAGTCATTACAGCTGTCATGCCCCCATATTTTCAAAAGAATTGCCTTTTGTATCTGAATCGGTAATGTGCCCAATGTCTGTGTCCATGACCATGATATGTAGGGGGGCCACATACAACTCCTAGATGAAACACATGCTTAACTACAGAGCAAAATTGTGTCTTTTGTATCTGAATCAATATTGTGCTTGCCCCAATGTCCATTCATAACCATAATATGCAGGGGCCCACATACACTCCTAGATGAAATACATGCTCAACTATAGAGCTAAAAAGTTGGAATGCTTCGAACTCAGAATTAACAACCTGAAGTTTGACAGCATGTACAAGAGGGGGCACATAGAAAATTCTAATTTGCTGCAATCGACACTTTCAACTTATAATTTATTAAGGCAATGAAAGACACAATTACATATGGATCCCCCCC